ATCCTTTGTTCAGTCAAAGCTGACCTTGGCTTCGTGGTGAGAGGGATGGGCTTGGCCCCTGTTTCCCAGCCCCTGGGTCCCAGCTGGAGGATCTTTGGCCTCCCTGCAGTCACACCTTCATTGTACACTGAAATGTTGGTCTGACTTGGAACTGAAACCTTCCAGAATGGTTGTTCCAAGGATTTAGTTTATTTTCTGTGTGGTGTAAACCTGTCTCATTTTCAGACTGTTAAACATGAATATTGCCTTCCTGTGTAAACTGTTTGTCCCACAGCCTGCACTGAAAGTTTATTTCCTTTTTAATTCAGGGTTTTGTAGGGCTTCCTGTTGCTATTTAGAGTAAAAAGCAACAAGAACACTATCCCCACCCTTCCCTGTTTCTTAAGACCAAGCTTGTATGCACCTGGTTTGGGTTTTTCTTGTTTTCCTTGGAGTTGGGTATGGCTTGGTATAACTTTCAGAAAAGCTTAAAAGGTTTTCTTTGGAAGTTGCTGACCCAAAGTGCTGTAGTACCAAAATGCAATGGAAGTGAGAGAAGTTTCTCTAGTGAGCACTGCAAGAAGCTGGTCAGAGCATGAGATTTCTTTCTCTTTCCAGCAGTTTTGATGCTGGAATATGGAGTGGTTTGTAACTGGCACAAGAAGTCCAGCAAATAGGACAAAATCCTAGTGGAAGTGTCTCACCTCCTTTGGGGCTGTTTTTAATCTTGATGGACATAGTGCCAGTCTGTTCTCTGCTTTGCTGGTCTGTGAACCAAACTTTGAAGCATTTCTCCATTGGGACAGCTCCTAAATCCTCTCAAATCCCTTCCTCTAGTCCTCTTCTCAGTGGTGTGAATCAGTGAGACTCTGTTTAATCCAATTAACCTACTCAAATGTGCACTGGTTTAAGATCCACCTCATGTCAGTCGATGAGCACTGGCCTCTTGGGGTGTTTGAGTTTGTCACAGAAAATCACCTTCCTTCTTAAAAAGGGAAGGAGACAGTGCATCAGAGATTAGAGTGAAAAAAAACCAAGATTCTTCTTCTCATCCCCCAAATCTATGATGTTTGAAGGCCACCAAGAGGATGGGGCCAAGTGATGGGTATGGAGCAGTGACGGCAACTGGAGCAGATTGTTTCAATGCTAATATCAGACCACTCATGCTCACACATATCCAAGTGCCTGCACTGAACAAAGGCATGGGAATCCTGCCCAGAGGTCCTTCACCTGGCACAGCCTCTCAAAAGCCCTTTTGTTTATATTTTCTCCTTGCCCTGGTATAGCCATTTGTATATGAAAGACACTGTTGTACACTGGGGCCAATTTAATAGGATGAAACACTCCACTGGCATGGGGGATGTGGTAGGAAAATTGGAAAATTTTTATTCCATTGGTACAAAGTCAGCTGAGGTTTTTGTTTTCAGCAGACCAAAAAAGAAGCCAGTAAGACCTGTAACGCAGTGGGACCTGTGTACAGTGGATTTCTCATGTAACACTAAATATTGAATTACAAGAATGTGATGTTGAGACTAAGACTTAGCATGCATAAGTTTGGATCTTGTGGTCTTCTCCTTGCTCATTAGTACTTCTGCTTCTGAAGGAAATCTAATAATTTTGAGTCAAAGCAACATATGCTGGAGATTGGAGACATCTCATCTTCCATATGGATTAGAATTGTGATGGGGCACAAATAGTTAGATATGCGAAAAATCTTCTACTTTTTAGTAAACTTACCTTTTTTGGTAAGTGGGCCAGCTGGAGTTTCTGAGATCAAGTCACTGGTGAAGGTGTTTCTTGTAAACTAAGCAGAGTCATAAAATTGCTTATTTAATCAAGTCACATACAAAGCAGAACAAAATCACCTGCTTGCATACATATTGAGCTTTTCTGCCTAATCTATTTTATAATGTTTTGTAATTAACAGGCCAGTGCTCATCAGCTGATAAATAATTAACAGCTGTTGTTTCTTCTAGGGCATGACGTAAAAGGTTTTCATAGGACAAAAAGTAGCTGGAGTTTTGTGCCAAAACTCTGACCAAACATACATTTACCACTGAATAAAAGCAACTCTCTCTGAAAAATGGCACTTCCTCTTTAAGAGTCTGCCAAACTTACTAAGAAAAAAGTATTCACCTCCTCTTTGTGGCAGCCAGGTCTTGGAAATCTAAGGTGAAGATTTCTGGTTTTTATTGGTGTTATTCAGACAAATCAAGAACTCAAATGTAAACACAAAGGTGTTTTTTATGAGTCACCTACATCTTACTAATATCCATAGTTTTCCTGACATTAAACACAGGATTGTTTGATTTTTGCTCAAACCCTTTAGATCTGAGAGGAGAGAGATCTGAATTTGATGAGATGTAACCACCCCTCATGGATTTAAACAACTGTAGCAGTCTAGTTGTTACTCATCTCAAATAACTAAAAATTGACTTACTGTAGATTCTGGTTACAAATGAGAGATGCAGAGAGTAGATCATTTGGGAACTCCTTTTGACGGCATCTTGCTGACTGTCTCAGCAGCCTGCAACTCATTTATTTGCTTACTCATATCTGTTTTGAGTGAGGGAAGGGTCTGTGTGAGCCAGGAGCACCAATAAGAGCAATACCTGCAACTGAATCCATGCTGGAGGAGAGCTCGGTGCCTTCCTCCAGAGCTTTTCTGATTTATTTATTTTTATACTACATATTCATCAAGCAATTACAAGTGTTCTTTGCTGAGAGAGGGGGATGACTCCTGTTTACAGCACACACTAATCATCTATGATTAAGCAAGTTCATACCGTGCTCATGCAAAAGTTCAGTCTCCCACTTAGACAAGTTTTACACCTGCTGTAAAGGTTTGCACTGCAACAAAGAAGCATGTTCTTGTCCATGGTTTTTATCCAATAGTTTCACATAGTTTTTCATATATACTCACTTCAGGTCAAGTAGCATCAGAAAAAAAATGTTTAAAAACTTGAACATGTCTCCAAATTAAAATTGTGAAGCTATTGTAGACAGTTGAGGATAGCTGTGATGTATTTGTGGCAGAGAGTGTCACTGAAGAGGTTTTCTGTAACATTTTGTACTGTTTGGACTTTCCTAAGTGTTGCAGGCTTCATGCCCAGGTATATCGGTTTGCTGTAATACAGCCAAGTGACCAAGGTGTGAAAAACTAAGGCCAGGTCAGTATCTGGCAGGATGGGATGTAGTCTTCCAGCCAACTGGGGATGGTTGGAAGTGATAATTGCTGCTATGAGAGAGCTGAATGTACTTGTGGATTCTTCTCCTTTTTTTTTTTTTTCCTTTTTTTTTTTTTTTTTTTTTAATACAAGCTCAAACATCAATGCGTGCTTTGGCCACCTACTCCAAATTCTCTCCTCTGCATACTGACATTTCATGTCTACTTGAGTTCAACTTCTACCTGTGGTGAACCTCTCAGGATGTCTTGACTCAGCATTGAAACCTCATCCTGGTACTGGCATGATTGTGTATGGTAAAAAATTGAGATGTTTGTTTTCTGTGCCTTGCCAGCACTGGGACAACTTACCCCCAGCTGTATATAAATTATGCCCCAGGGTGAAGATGCAGGCTCAGACTTTGCTCTGGACCCATATTGCTTCTTGCAGGTGAGATGGCAATGCCAAGCTAAATGACTTTGTATAAATAAAGAGAGGAAGAATGGATGGATGGATGGATGGATGGATGGATGGATGGATGGATGGATGGATGGATGGATGGATGGATGGATGGGAGTGGATAATCTCCTCTAAGGATGGGATGAGACCTCAGGTTGGTGGCAGCAGAACCATTTCAGCTGGGCGTCTGCTGTGAGTCTAGTTTGTGCTAGGTTGGATCACAAGTCACAGCAAAACAAATGTTCAGCTTCCCAGCTAGAGCAATCCAGCTATCCTGATCATGACAGAGGTTCATGCAAACATTTGTTTACTAATGTATAATAGAGGGAACTTCTTTAGAAGTGTTTGTTCAAAGGAGCAAAGAAAGACTCCTTTGCTGTATTCCACTGGGACTGTTTAGTTCAAGAGGAGCACAAGTTGTCTGTGATTCTGCCTCTAAACCATGATGCTAAAACCAAGATCGTTGGTGGTTTCTGTTGACTGCTTGTATCTTATAAATTCTGGACTAACCACTGCAGTAATGTGACCACAACCTGTGTCACCAGTGGTCGCAGTTCCCTCAAAATTATCAGGAAGGCTGAACGTGTTGTCAAGAGTAGCTTAGACCAGAAATTACTTAAGATCCTTAGCTAGAGGTGGCCTGTATGTGAATAAAAAAACTGTAAGGTTTTCCCTCTCATTTCTTTTTGGTGGCAGCTTGGTTTTTATTCTTTGCCATTCTTTATCTTTTGGGCTTCCCTGAAATAGTGCATAATCCTGCAAGAGCAGGGATCTTTTTTTTTTTAGAAAAGAGGAATTTTAAAATTGGGGTAGCTCTCTCCGCCCCACTGTAATGGAGAAAGCTTACTGGTAATGGGGACCCAGTGCTCTCCCCAAATGTTTGTAAGCCTCCAGGTACATAAGCAAGGCCTCCACCTCACCCAGCAAAGGAAGTCCTGTGCCTTTAAATACCCTCCCCGTGGCGGGTGCACACTTTTCTGCTTATTCTGAGCTGACAGGTTTAACATGTCGTTTGCCTGGTCACCGGAGAGAGGCACCTCTGGCAAAAGTTCAGAAGTCAGTGTTTTGGAAAGATTGGTTTGACCAGCTCTGAAGCGAGAGCAAATCCCAGACCAAAAGCAGTCAAATCTTCAACAACATTTAACCGCTGTGGTGCTGTAACTTGCTGACATCCTTTTAACCTGGAGAGGAGTGTTCAGCACACTTAAACCTTCAATTTTATTTACTGTTTCTTTTCTGCTTTGTTGGCAGGAGAAACTTGGGGTGAAGACAGGATGTTTTGATTTAATTCTAGTTAATTAATTAGCTTGCATCTTGTTCTGGCCCAAGACTACAGGACAGGCAGCAATTTTTGATCTTGCCCTGGTATCTAGACTTCTATAATATATAGTATTGCAGTAAGGATATATATTCCTTTATTGCTTCTGCAGGGCTTGTTATTGAAATGATCTTAAGATTCACCGCATCTTGTTTTGTAAAATTGCCAGGTCACAGACTTCTTCTCCTCCCTTGATATTTACATTGAAGGGTAACAATTTCAATTTCTTAAAAACAAGAAAACAAACAAGAGCATGCAAACAGTTAATAGCAAGTGGTGCCCAAATTACATATTTCTTAAACTCGTGGCCTACTTTACTAATCAGTTGTCATAAGATGTCAGATGGGGACCCATCACTGAAGAATTGTAGAATGCAGCCAGTGAAGCAACTAATTAGTTGGGCAGTGGCATGGAGGTGTGTGTCCCCAAGGAGCTGAAATGATCAGAGCAAGTGAAGAAAGTTTGGACAGATCAGTATCTCTGTGGTATAAAGCCCAACACTTGGCTGAATTCACAGGGATGCTGAGGGTGAGGGCACCACGGGTCCTCCTCGGGGATGTGCATGGCAGGGGACTGCAGCACCACTGCTTCCAGAAAGAAAGGCAAGTCAGCTGAATGCTTGGAGGAGCATGACCTGAGATGTGCAGGGATTGGAATAATTGAGCAGTTTCTGGTTTCATTCGGGAGAGCTGTAGCTATCTGGCTTATTTGCCAACTCATTCCCAAAGCCTTTGCTTCCTGGTCACTGCAGGAGTTGGCATTGGTCATTCTCTGTGGGCACCAGACAGGCCACCCTTCACTCCCTTCTGTACTCCCTTCAGGCACATGATGGTGATTGAGCCAGCAGAGCAGAGGAACCATTGCCTCCTGATGCAGCTGGGGGCAAAAGGCCTCAGGAGCAAACATAAGAACCTCTCTTGTGGACTAAAAGATGTAAAAGACTTAACACTTATAAGTCTCCCATATACTCCTTTAACACTAATTGTTTAAAAAGTGCTTTCTTCCCTTTTCCCTTCATCCCACCCCAATACAGGTGTACCCCTGCTGCACTCATGGAATTCTGTCTCCCCATTCAAACTCCACAGGTGCAGCAGTGGAACAAATCCTCTCCAAAATTCCTCCAAAGGATGAGCCCCATCTCCCTGTGGGACCGGGTGTGGGTCAGTGTGGGACACCAGGAACCCCTCACATCAGCAAGTCACTTGCTTTCTGATCAAAAATGAGGATCTCAGTTCTAGCCCCTTCTCCTAGGGTAAGCTTAAACCCAGATATTTGATTTGGGATCTTTAGTGCAACAAGTCCTCAGGATAAAATCTTCTTTTTGGTACTTTGATTTCCAAAATGTTATTGTGCACTGCAAGAAGAGTCACACAAGATTGATGCATTAAGTATTAGTAGTATTTAGCTGTCTTGTGTACAGATTAAGGATGGCCATGTCACAGGAATTATCAGGAGATTTCCAGACCTGGAGGTCACTTTTGAGCTAACTCTTGCAAGGGCTTGATTCAGTGCAGTAGAGGACTATCAAATGTGATAATGCAGTGCTCAGCCTGGACCCACAGTTTCAGGACTGACCAAACCCAGGGGAAAGGATGCTCTTGGAGGACAATATGATCATGTCACCAAGGCTGGCAGACAGGCCTGGAGGATGTCTTGCACAGGTACTGTGGACCACATGCCCTGGCCAAACCACACTCAGCAAGCCCACACAAATGCTGTCTGGAGCTGTAAAATTAAAAAGACACCAGTTCCTTCCATCCTGTTGAATTCAGGCAAGGTACTTATTTGAGGGACAGATTCTTGGTTCCAAAAAAGCTGCTTTGACCTTAGAGCTGCCAAATTCCTTCCCCCATTACCTCCCATCTTTCTAGTGTTGCACAGCTACTCTGAGTCATTGTTTATCTAATTTAATTAACATTTGCTAGTGCCTGCAACCTAAAACACTGTCTTAAAACATTTGCTTGAAAAGCTTCCTTGTCCCAGAGCTGTCATTTTTAACATGATGGATAATGGATAGAAATAATTATCCTGAACAAGGTTAGACAGCTTAAATGATTTGAGTTTCAAGGAATTAGTAAGCTTAGCTAAACATCTTATTTTTCAAGACACATTAATAATAAAAACATAGCAGTGTCCATAATGGATTGTAAAATCTGTACTCTACTAACATTTTTGTGATCTCTCACAGGTTCAACACCTTCATCCAGGAAGGTTTAAATCAGCACAATATCTCATACATGAAATCACTGAATATCCTGATTTGGAAGGTGCCCACAAGCATCATCAAGTCCAAGTCCTGGACCTGCACTGGACATCCCCAAGAATCACATCATCTGTCACCATGTACATCATCAACCCCTGCATAGAAAGGACTGTTGAACCCCAGATAAGATGCTTCCTGGGCTGTGGAGTGCTGGTGTCCCGCTTAGCTGGTCCAAGTGGGAGGGCAATGTATACATGGGTCGTGGGAGGACCTGGATCCATAGAAAGTCAGTGCTGCATCTGCAGTCCCCAAAACAGCCCTGGAACAGGCCAGAAGAAATCAAAAGGCAGAGACTTGGTGCAAACAGAATGAGCTATTTCAGCTTTACAAAGGTATAAAGGAGAGTGGAATTGGGCTCACTGCCTCTGTATTATTTCCCTAGTCCATAATTTTGGGGAAAATACAAGTTTTCAATTAATCATTGACCTTTAGCTTTGAAGAAAAACAGAACTTTGGCACTGAAATTGCCAAAAAATACGAGTAACAATTTGCAATTGCTTAATTTCCCTCCTAGAAAGCCAGGTGCAGCCAGGCCTCTGTGGTGCTTTGCACTGCGCAGGAGTGAGCTCTCCTCCAGGGACACTCAATCCAAGGCAGACAAAGAAAACATGGAGAAAAACAAGCACCTGGCAGAGAAATGCCAAGCCACAGGCAGCAGGACATGGAAATGTTCCCTCCATGGGCTGCTCATTACACTGTGACACTTTTCAAACAATGACCATCCTGCACCAGGCAAGGTGCTCAGACCTGATGTTGTTCCCCTTGGTTTGGAGCAGGGGGTCACGTCCTGCTGCACATCAGCCACATTAATGCTCTCAAGAACTGCCCACTCATCCCACATGAGCACAACCCCAGGAGCAGAGTCTGGGTTAGAGGCTCCTGCAGCCTACATTGCATCAATATGATGGAGATTTTCACATAAGGTAAATTTTTGTTTTTCTTTAATTCTCATTCTACAAGTTTTATATTGCTGGGGCCTTTTTAAATAAAAATCCCCATTAAAAAAAAAAAAAAAAAAAAAAGGTGCCCTTTTCACTTCTGAAAGCAAAGGAAAATTTTCTTGGAAAATTTACCTACTTGCTAAAATCCATAGTTTTGCTTTGACCCTCACTTTTTACATTTTTAGATTTCTTTTTTAAAGATCTCTGCATTGGTGTAGAACGATTTAAATTCTTCCAGCAAAGTGCAGTTTTATTGCTCCAGAGGCAGCATAAAGCTCAATGTGTGGCTGTATTTCAAGGAAGGAGATGTGGGAGAGTGCAGCTTGCAAGTGGCAATAGAGCCCAGAAATTGAACTCTAGCCTTTCTATTCAGTGCTCTTTTTATGATTAAGTCACGGAATAAGTAAAATGTTACAGGGACACTTTAAATCTACACTTGTTTGTACAGCATCCAATGAATATGCGATGGGGAAAGAAAATGAAAAATGTGGGAATGTTGAAAATAAGGAAAAGATTGGATGCTGAAGAATCAAGTGTAAATTATGATACAGTTAAATCTGTATTTTAACATGAAATGGACAAGCAGAGCTTTGGTGCATTCTCATGGTTATGGGGTGGCTTTGGGGTAGGTGCTGTCTGCTTCCTCAGACAGCCTTTGCTGTAGCAAACAAATTTTTATTTTAATACTGAAGATCCCTTTTGTTTTGATTTTTTTTTTCAGACTTGAAACAAAAGAGTCCGGAACTAGTTTTTAACTTTTGATCATGCTTGTGAAAGCGTTGTTACAGGTGGCAAAGACAGGTGAGAGTGTGGAGCCACCATTCACACCAGCATCAAGGTAGGATATGAAAGAGGTTTGGGTAGAGGATGCCTGCAGGCTGCCATTAGCACCTCTTAATGATCTGAAGCCTAAATGTCTGGTTGATGGCTCTAATTTAGGCTTATGAGCCTTGCTTTGTTATTGCTGGCCAAGAAGGTTCATCTGGAGCTGGCTAAGGTTCACCTGCAGGTGTACAGATTCTTGTTGCTCCTTCTAGGGTAAGACAGTGTGGATGACCCACCACCAGCATCTTCCCGTTGTTTCCCACTGGGATCCGGCCTTGCTGAGTTTTTTGGGTAAGTATCCCTATCCCGACAAGTGTTAGCACCTCCCAGGCATGAGGAAAGCAAGAAGAGGCAAAGGAGTGTGACCACTTTTCCAGGCAAGGACAGTGAACAACCATTCCTAACACTGGCATCATGCAGGCTGCAATTTTACGAAGCAGCCTGCAATTTTGAAGTCCTTAGTTGTGCTTTTGTAACCCAGAATAGGCAATAAAATGCAAATATTGCTCCTATTCCCATGTCCCCGAGCAGGATGGAAGAAAAACCTGAAAAAAAAAAACATTTTCTTGTGTTCTGGGCTAACAAGGACCACAGATTTATTTCTGTTTCTCATCAGTCTAAACCAATCCCCTGGTAACCACCACTGGCACTGGAACTCCTATACTCCTATAGTCACCTCTTTGTGCTGGCCTCATGACTGGAAAGTCATGGTGATTTCCCCAGTGGGAGGAGGTGGGAATCCCTAGGCCAAACGTGCTGGGAAAGAATGGAAATGGCAGATTCTCCTGTCATTTTTTCTTACCTCGTTTTAGATGTGGTCTAAATGTTCCAAATTCCCAGTAACTGTTTTTCTCTTTCTCCTACTTTGAGAAAACAGCACAGTGTTAAATATGGTTTCCTGACAGTGCTTTTAACATGCAGCAGTGGGACAGATGTGAACACTAAAGAGCTTTTGCCTGTGTTTTTTGTGCCTCAGATGAGGAGCAAGTGACCCATGATCTGCCCCATAATTTCTAATGTTGTAAATAACCACACTTTGTGTTTTCTGTGTATCAGAGATGGGTGAGTCAAATGGCAGAGAGCACTGAACACAGCCCAATGGCAAGGAGATCCCCCTGTGTACCATGGATTAAATCCTGCTGCCTAAAAAGTGATTCCAAAGTTGTCAGTGGATCCTTGCTCCAGATTTTATGGTGCCCAACACTATTGCAGTGCTACAGTCAGGTGTTGAGCAGCCACAAGAAAACCAAATCTGAGGGGTGAGAAAAGCAAGATGTATGCAAAACCTATGGGTGGCAAAGTTACTCATCCACAAACCTTCCCCATGGAGCACAAGGAGAGCCAGCTCTTTCTTTTTATCAAAACCAGGAATCCCATGAAAGGAACCACAACCCACACAAGGTGTCTGCTCCTGGGGTTTTCCTTCCTATAGCACAGTTGGATTTCTGGTACTGTTTGTTCCCTGAGCTTGTGGATATGTAATGTGAGGCAGAGCATTTATTATTGGGGAGCCACAACTGAGAGATGGATAATATGGTTGGGTGCCAGTGTTAACCTTGGACCTGTGTAACCATCGTGTTGGTAACCTGAGTTAAATTGCTCGTGGCAAAACCAAGAGATTGGTTTTCCTTAGCAACCACTTTGTAACTGCAGAGTGAGTCCAACAAAAGCAGTAGTAAAGTATCATAATGCAGGTACTTTTTTTACAGTTGCCAGGTCATTCTTGGAGATATATATGTATTTATAATTAATGTGTTGCTTCTATGTGCTGGGTGGCTGCAAGAAGCTGGGTTTTGGAGCATGAACTGCTGGATTTCAGGGGCTGTAACAACCTCTGCTCACACACTTTGGAAGGAAGAGCTGCTTTGCCCTCTACTTTTGTTGCCTGGCCAGTTCTTGGCAGACCTCTGTCATCTCCTCCCATCTGATGGCACCTTTGCTTCTTGCCTGACCCATGACTCTGTGAGTGGAGCAGTTGTTGTTGTCCTGCTGGGATTTTGGCCAAACACCATGGCAGAAAGTGCTCTTAAACACATTAGGCAGCACTAGGGAGCACAGGCATGGACACAGAAAACTTCTGCTAATACAGATGTATTTTTAATAGATAAAATGTGGAATGGTTGTAGTGGGTGTTCTTTGGTCATGTACTGGCTCTTCAGCCTAGTACATGATGTGTAGACCAAATTTATGTGTGTTTGGGGTTTTTTAATTGAAAAAAAAAAAAAAAAGGAAGTGTCTACATGAAAATCTCAAATTTACATGGAAAAATCTGATGGGGGTAATCAAAATGCAGCACTGTGTTCTGGGATCACACCAGTGTGCCAAAGTCCAGCAGCTTCAGCTGGATGTCCTGATCTGAGAACATCACAGTGTTCCATTGTATCTCCCATCCAACATAAACAGTTGTGACTTGATTTTTCTTCTGTAAGAAAACCTCAGTGCTTCAACATTTGGCTGAAAACAAATACCAGTTAATGTTCTTTATGTTTATTAAATAGGAAATCAGTGAGTAAGAAAGAGAGTGTGAAAAATGTTCTATAATAATTTCAGATTTTGTTGATAATGACACAGATCCTTGCCCCAAAATTTTAAATTCAAGCAACTAGCCAACTTATGCAATATTTAGAAAATGTGTGATCTTCTGATTATTCCAGTGGAAAATGTTTAGAAATTTGCAGAGCACTCTCTGTGGTGATTTAGATGTAGGGATTCATTCAAGCATCTGCTTAAGTCCTGTTGATGCTATAAGACCTAAATCCCATTCCTAAACAGCAGTGCTTTCCCAGGTGAGGATTCAGGTTGGAAAAGTGCTTCCCTGTTAGGTCTGTTTAAAGCTTTTCTCACCACCTTTCCTGCACTGGGGTAGATGTCCAGGGGGAGGGAGTCATTTCCCCAAATATCTCCCGTTCCCTGCAGCTGGATCCAGTCTTGGCTGTGAGTTGGACACAATCCTCATGGTTTAGGAAGTGGTTCCTGTAAACCCAGAACAAGGCTAATTTCAGGCTATTAGAGTTTTGGCTCTCAAAGTCTTAGTGCCTCACACTGCTCTCTGCTCAAGCCCTGGCAGGTGGGTTTGTGAGGTTATTCCTTGTGCAAACATGGAGAATCATTGAGTCCTGCAAAACTGCCCCACTGTTTGACCAGGGGAACTCTGTCTCTCTGCAGAGTTTTCAGTGATTTTCAAAGGACATTTGACTTTTTCTAAATTTAAAATCTATTTCTATGGAAACTGCAAGGCTAGAAGTGTGATTTGAGAAAATTTCATGCCTAATGGTAGCCCAGATAATGGCAATAGACAGCCATACAAAGATGTGTGAGATATAGAATCATAGGATCCTCACATGGTTTGTGTTGGAAGGGACCTTAAAGATCTCCTAGGGGGGAAACTTTCCATGAGAACAGGTTGCTCCAAGCCTGAACTAGCCTGGCCTTGTACACTTCCAGGGATGTGTCATCCACACACCCACTTTTGTGGGCTACATGTGCCAGGGCCTCACCACCCTCACAGGGAAGAATTTCTTCCTAACATCTCCCCTAAACCTTCCCTCTTTCATTTAGAAGCCATTTCCCCGTGTCCTGTCACTATAGTTCCTGATGAAGGAATATCATCCAGACTATGACATCCCCATCACCCTAAACAGTTGAGCTGCAGGTGTGGAGTAGATGATGTGTCCAGCATTCTCTGCTCAGCCTGTACATTCTGTGCATAGGATCATGGGCAATCACAGCCCTTGGTGCTGAGAAATAATAACTTGTGGAAGCAGAGAATGGAAATGGGATGTGATGAAAGCACCCGGAGGAGCAGAGCCTGCACAGCACTTGGTGCAAAAACTGCAGCGTGCCCTTGTCTGGGCGCAGAGGTCGGTGGTGGTGCAGTGCTTCCACAGCAGTGCCTGCATGGAGGCTATTTCCGACTCCCATAAAAATCTTTATGTCTCTGTGATCAGGATTCGGTGATGCAAATTTGCTGTGTCAAAGGAAGATGCCGCCGTAAATGAATTAGTACAAGAAGAACTTCTTATTTAAGAAGTGCTGACTCTGCGCTCTCCCCTATGCCCTCGCTTTTAAAATTGAAGGCTGGGTTTGCTGCTTGCTATGATCTATATTTAGATACTTATAAATGAAGTTTTGCAGTCATATGGCTGCATTCTTGTGCAGCTTCATGAAGCCGTTTCTTCACATTGTAGAGATTTATATGTTTGCATTTACATATTGCAGGTGTTTCCATAAAAGCTCAGGGTAGACACATTCAGGATGGCCTGAAAGAAAATGGAGAAGTGTTTAAAATATTACTGAGCACACTTACAAATATTGTCCTGGGGCAGAAGAGTGAAGTCACTGCATGAACAAGGGAGCAGAGACAGGTAGGATTAATGGATGTGGGCTTTTCAGGGGCACACCTCCCTACAGAGAGTTGAGTCGTGCAAGAGGAGGACAGCATCCCTTTTGAGATGTATCTTGTGCAATGCTCCCAGTAAACTGCTGGGCCTTCAGCAGAATATTTCAAAATGTTAGAGAGTGCTGCAGTGCTGAGCTCATGCTCTGTAAGTGATAGCCTGATGAATTATGTGCTGTACACACTACACACAAATCCTGTCCCAACCAGCCTTAGAAGAGGAGATAGCACTCTTGCTGGTGTGTCCTCTGCTCCAGGAACCTTGCCAGGAGGACACACCATAATTCATGCTCTGCTGATGCTTTATAAAAGTTGCAGCCTGTACTTTGGCTGCTGTGCTGCTGACCCCAGCATCCATGTCAGCCTGCAGCCCCTCCACGCCTGCTGGACGGCCTCAGTTCCCTGTGCCTGTCCTGGGAAGGCTGATGCACCAACTGGCCCTTCAGCTGGCACAGGCAATGCAGGCAGGCAGTGCTGCCTTGCCTGGCCTCTGCACCACATCCCACCAAAGGTCAGGGCTCTCCCTGCTTTCAGGCAGCCTCAGCTGTGCCCTCATGGCTGCAGAAGCCTACAGCTCAATGCAGAAAACAAGCTGGGAACTCATAGGGCTTCTCCTTAACCTAAGAACCTCTTTAATCTCTGCTCAGTTACAGCTACCAAAAGCAAAGGATTATCAGCACTTGATTTATTCTGGTTTGGGGCTCACCATAAAGCTGTAATGCAGCATCTTCCATGAGGAAGTGCCTGAGAAACAAGAAGTTTCCTGCAAGGAAGGAGCAGATCAACATGGGATGATAGGGGACTTTCATGTGGAGCTAAAACACTCCTGAGACATTGAAAGGGAATGGCAGGAGTTTGTTCAAGAATGGTGAGAAAGACTTTGGCTGTGGTTTCTTCCACTCTTCATCCCCTTTTCCACGGTGGGCTGTGAGCCTGGCCTAAGGCTCCAGTTTAAACTCTGTCCTGTGGACAGGGCCAGGCAAGGTGAAACACGGGCAAGGAAGGCAGCAGGTGGGCTAGCAGGGTCAGGAGCAGCCAGGCAGGTGACTGTCCAGGCCAGCACACCCAGAGGTGCCAGTCTGCCCTTTTTTGAGACTTTTGCCGTTTTGGAGACTTCCTGGGGAGCTAAAAATCCCCAATTTCCTGGGGCCACAGACCAGGCCGGGTGCTGGCCCAAATGTGGGTCAAGAGTGACACCCTGTGGACAAGTTTCTCTTTTTCGTAACCTTATAGGATTTCTCGCCCGATACTTTTCGTCTGCCTCTTTATTCCCCCTCCCCAGAGTTTTCCTTTCCCGACTCTCCTTTCCCAGCCCAGCTGTTGCCGCTGCAAGCCCCGCGGTGCTCAAGGACCGGCGTAATCTCATCGCTTTAAAAACGCAGACTAAGGGGCTGAGATCGAAATCCCCACTTCCCTTTTGTTCCTCTTTGCTTTTCCCCCTTTTTATAGTGGTTTTCCCCCATTTA